AGGAGGAGGAGGAGAGAAGGGAGGAGAGTCAGGAGGGTGCCGAGGATGATGGCGAGGAGTACAGCTCTATGTAAAGTGACCATGCACTGCAGAGAACGCTCTATTGCGATGACGATGATCACTGTTTAAACTAAACTGGTCGCCCGGTCGGGTCTGGTCACATTTGCGAATCAAACGTGATGACATTCGAGTCACGTGTATTGGTCCCCAAGGTACATGAACCCTAGAGTGCCAACAATTTTGGTTATGCACTCATAAATATCCCTGTGTAGTTGCTGTTTCTTGCGTAGGATCTACCTCTCCACGTGTTGTGGAAGTCTTCAAAACTATCTTACCTGCCAAAGACGCACCAACCTCCAAGGATTATAGGTCAGTCCAACGCCTCTTTGCGGTCTAACGCTTTGTGCGCAGATCTACGGGCTCTTTGTTCGTCACTGCATTTCGTGACTACAGTGAGCGATGGTGGTGATCTACGTGGGGCTCAGAAGATGGCCGATCGTCCATTGGCATGCTACCCACGAGGTCGGTTTGCGTAAGTTGACGAATCACACATCCAGGAGCTCACCAGCGCGTGGACCGTCTGAACAGGGAGGATGGTTATTCCCGGCTAGCTCGTAAGTAAAACAGTAGTCTTGTGTACATTGTAAAAAATGGGCGGAAGGGATCGGATATACGCCCCCTCCCCAAACTATGGAGTGAGGCTGTCGAGATGGGTCGAGAACAGGAAGCTTCACAAAGCACAAGTCAAGGATGACGGATTAAGTTGGAAAAGCTGTACCGGGGCTAGAGAGCGTACAAGAGACTCAGCAACTAGCTTAATCTAGTCGGTTAACCAGACAGGTGACAGCCATTGAGATTATTAACCGCCCAGCACGTTCATTTGGGTCTTGGCCGCCTGTAGCCAATCAGCGCATAGCTCAGCATCGATTGGCCCGGAGCTGTCACAACGCTAGGGTCAAACCCAGAGCGCAGTTCGAACGATCTGTCGACAGGGAACGCGAGGCCGACAGAAGGGCGACGAGAGTAAACGGCCGGCGACCACGAGGGCAGACTGTCACAAGGCCACTTGTAGTACGGCAATGTTTGTAACTGGAATTTTAAAAGTGGTTCTCTTCAAGGCAGGAAACAGGTGCGTCCAAAACGCCAGTACTAGGAGGTCAAGTCTTAGTTAGTAGAAGAAGACGAAGGACCCTAGAATGGGGAGGTTTACTGTGTTCAGAAGTCCAGACAGCAGTCAATAGGCCTCTTATTCCAGTGATCACATCTTCCTATTCTGAACTACAGTGCGTGACCGATCTCATGAAATGTTGGCCAAAATTCATGGAATGCGTTTCCGATTAGGAAGGATTTCCTAAGTGGGGTTGCTATACTGATTATCATGCAGCATAACCCTATGACATTTCGGACTGGCCAGGATGCCGGCTTTCGAATGCACTTCTTTTTGACCTCTTACAGAAACCACGCTCGGTAAAAAATGACTACTTAAGTAGCATGCATTTTTTCCTATGGATTTTCGATAGTCTTATAAATTCAAATATATTTTATAGAGAACATGCACAAAAATATGCGTTCTTTTGCTCATTTAGAAGGAAATTACATTGTCTTCATATTTTATGCCCGAAAAGTGTGTATTTAGGTTCTAAAAAAGTTTCCCCAATTCCCGAATAATTTTCAGCCTGATGTGCCATTGCATCAGCGTTTAGCAATTTCAGTCTACAAGGTGCATGCTTTCCGCGTAAGGAAAATCATAAATTCCTCTATGCCTTTAAGCAGATATCACATAGAGTTCATGAAATTTTGCAATTGATCCGGACTGTGTTGTGCATTTCATGAGGAGCATTAGTAAAAGGACATGTGCGGTCTTAAGAAGCTCATAATTAGAAGCTTTTTTTAAAAACCTAAATTCACACTTTTTCGGGCATAAAATATGAAGACAATGTAATTTCCTTCTAAATGAGCAAAAGAACGCATATTTTTGTGCATGTTCTCTATAAAATATATTTGAATTTATAAGACTATCGAAAATCCTTAGGAAAAAATTCATGCTACTTAAGTAGTCATTTTTTACCGAGCGTGGTTTCTGTAAGAGGTCAAAAAGAAGTGCATTCGAAAGCCGGCATCCTGGCCAGTCCGAAATGTCATAGGGTTATGCTGCATGATAATCAGTATAGCAACCCCACTTAGGAAATCCTTCCTAATCGGAAACGCATTCCAGGATTTTGGCCTACATTTCATGAGATCGGTCACGCACAGCACTTCATGGAACTCGCCTCTTCGCGTCTATCTCCACGGCAGTGGCCGTTAACGAGGCCCTGGCATATGTTGACAGTGTCAGGTCATACCTGATAGACAGGGCTAGCGCCAGTGGTGACTGCTGGTTTTATCGGTTCGTAGAGGTAATTTAAAATGTCTTGTGTCCAAGCTGTGTGCTGTGTGATACGGGGTAGGCACGACCCTGCAGTGCTTCACTCGGTCAGACTGGAGTAAGTTCAGTGCGTCTGGAACCGCTCGCAGGGATGGGGACTAACCCTGACACAGTAGAGCGTTCAACAAACATCTGTTAGGAGGGGCTGGAGCATGACGCACCATTCTTTTCATCTGGCTTTTACACTCGACAGAAAATCGCCAAACCGGAGGACACTGACAAACGGCAAATTGGATCAGGATGGTGGCATGACTTTATAGAAAGTTTTAGCAGTTTAAAGCAGGCGCACACAGGAGAATTTACTGATAACAACAACGTCACAAAGCTAGTTTATTGTTTCGGCTACGAGTACATTAGTAAACTGTGATGCTACGTCTAATGATAGCATCCTCCGTCCGTCAACGTTAATATCCTTGATCGTCCCGACTAACTCGAAGGAGTCCTTCAAACTTATAGGGTACGGATGACTTTGTAGCGGTTTAAGCTTTTCGACTAGTCATTTTGCTATGGTGTGATAGGGCGAATTCCTCATATCCAGGATTGGGCATAGGGGTAGCCCGTGTTTCGGAATGTTTGGGAGGCCGTACATTCGGGGTATGGCCGTGCCTACTGGTCTTAGTCGCTCAGATTCTTTGTCAGACAAATGACCTTCTTTGTGAAGAACTTTGAGAACCGCCGTCAGCTGACACGGTGCACACAAAACGTCCAGTTTCTTTGCAATGTTCAGCTGTACAGGCAAATAGACGGCGTAAGGATGGGCTCACCGCTCGTCCCGTTCCTCGCAAATGTCTTCGTGGGCAAAGTCGAGATGACAAGTTTACAAGACACTATTAATGACCTCAACTTCTACGGTCGGTACATGGACGATATTTTCTGCCTGACGGATGTTACCACCGACACAGACGCCCTGGTTCAAATATTCGACAATGCACACCCCTCGCTAACGTGCTCTGCAGAGTTTGAGGTATACAACGAAATCGCGTTCTTCGATGTTCTTCTGCACAGACAAGAGGATGGATCTATCTAGCGTAGGGTATTCCGAAAGAAAACCTGGACGGGATAATACATTAATTTTCACAGTTTTATTCCCCTAAATATTAAACGCAATTTGGTCCAGAGATTGGCAGCTAGAGTGCGACGTATCTGCTCTCCTGAGACTGTTGAGGCAGAACTCCAGCAGCTGCGGGATGTACCCCACGAAAACAGATACCCAGAAGGATTTATCCTCCGAAATATAGGGGAGCGCACGGCAAAGCCCACCTTAGCAACTGCAGGAAAGAAAGACTTATTTATAAGACTGCCTTTTCAGGGGGACGCAGCAAGTGACCTAGTAAGAAGACGTCTGAAGACAGCGATCACTAGCGCTTTCCCCGCGGCAAATTTACGTGTGCGTTTCACTAACTCTCCCCTCCTACGCTTGGGAGGTAAAGACCGACTCCCTTTGCAGGCCATATCGATTTGTGTTTACTCATTCACTGGCTCCTGTGGAGCGGGATAGATTGGCCGTACAACGAGGCGCCTGGAAAAGAGAGTACGTGAACACATACCGGCCTGGATAGGCAGAGGTGAAAAGAAATCGATCTCGAGTTCTGTTCTCGCACATCTTGTCGATACGAATCAGCGAGTCGATGTCAAAGAAGCCTTTCAGGTTTTCTACCGGACACCAGCAAGCTTCTTCAGAGGACTACGCCAACGGGTGCTAGCTACAGCCGAGACAGTGGCTATACGGCTAGCCAATCCAGTGCTATGTTGTCAGAAGATGCTGACACAGGCGTTCTGTCTTCCGTGGCTAACGCCGACCCCAGATGATGATTGCACATCGCTCCAACCTCCTGATGGTAGTGGTGTGTGTACAACGTAACCGACGTACAAACATTACTCACAGCCTATGTCCCCCCCTCCCCCTCGCCCCCTTGACCCAATGACCACGACACGCCGACCACGCCATAGCACGCCTCGCCATGCGAGTGGCGTGGGAACGATGAGTGTCAATAACCCCTGAATCCCTTATAAACTCTGTAAATTAGCATAATTTTAACTTCTATGTAACTGTTTTGGCCTGATGACGATCTACCGAAAACACGTGTTTGCCAAATTGACTTTCCAATCTGCTATCACTTTAAACTAATTGACGCGCAAGTCACCTTGCCTGTTGCACGTAGCTGTGTGGCACACTGTAGACGTCGTCGTCTGAATCGACGGTCAAACTGTCGGGACTCCTTTCCATAGCCTGGAGTTGTCCGAAAGTCGTAGGTACATCTAGGGCCGCCAGTGTTGCTTAGATGTTCGCTAGCGGAGCCAAACGCATCCGATGGCAGAGATAGAGAGAGAGAGGGGGGGGCAGGGAGAGAGAGAGTTGAGACTAGTTAGAACGAGGTCCGCGGTGGTAGGTCCTTGATAGCAGAGTCTAAGGTAGGTATCTGGGTCATCAACATGCGCCAGACAGATGGTCCAGACAGACACGCCGTTAGTAGAGTCAACAAGTTGACAATGATCGCCTGGTAAATCCTATTCGTGTATCAGTTACTGCCACAACAGTCCACATCTATAACCCGTTTTCGCCCTGGGCTGACATTACAGTTTGGTGCAAACCGCAGACCTGGGGATGACAACATAACACTCCCAGGGTGATAGGTAGGTGAGACGCCGGCACACAGTCTGTGTTTGTTAGAGTGCACCACAAATGTAGACAGAAGTTACAAATTGGCACCATTCCATCCAACCGCATCAAGATGTTTTCGCCTTCCGTTTATGAGCATATAGAGGACAGCCAAAAACAAAAATATCTGTTTTGCAGAGACATTAAGTGGATGAGGGTATGGCATATAGCCCCACGGAGCGGTTGATAAAACGTCTACCTTCTTACCTTATATGGGTAGGTGTGGTCATAACGGTTTGCCTAGTAGTAGGTCGCGAATGGGGTCTGTCAATACGCTGATTTTGACCTTCATCAGTGGTATTGACGTTTAAATTACTCGGATCGGGCTCAAGGTCAGGGCTAGTGTTAGGATTTGGATTATTCTTGGGACTAGGGTTGCTAGGCCTTGGTTATGGTTTGGATTAGGGATTGAAGCTAGGGTTGGGGCTTTTGGTTTACGGTTAAGGTTTTAAGGTTCGGACTGGTATTCTAGTTAGGGTTCTAAGGCTTGGGTTAGGGTTACGTTCGAGTTTTCTTAAAAGCTTGCGGGTTAATGGTTCAGGCTAACCATTGCAGACATCGGCAGGGCTGGTGCTAGGGTTGTAGTTAACTGCAATTTTTCCAGTTGGTTTACATACCATACCTTGCCATTAAGTCTTATGTGAAAAATCTGACGCCAACTAAAACGCTTGTTCTCATCAACTTCACTGGGGATCTTCAGCTGACCCTAATGTGCAACCTTCTGGTACGACAAACAAAGACCGCGATCACGGCCTGTGGGGGCTCAAGCGATGCATTGAAACCCTACAACAGCAGTCCACAAGTGTTGCACTGTGTTACCGTCTGAGAATGGACGAATGCACGCCGAGCTTGCTTATTGTACCCGTCAGGATCGATCACTAGTTGACCGACAGTCGGATGACCATGAGATCGTACTGAACCACCACTGATTTACGACAAGTGCGCAATTTCAGGAGCATAACATACAGCTCTCTGTGGATTCTGGCACGAAAAATGTGCCCCTGTCAACTTTTCCTTCTTCCGAACATCATTTGTGACATAGTTTTAGTGATGAGTGATCCTTAAAACCCCCAGTATGATTCCTGCTGTATTTACTGGCCTCTTTTCGAATTTCAGGTGCCACAGCGATATGCATGTGAGCATGCACTGTCCTCACTGCCGGTAGAGATGACATTTGACTCTGATTTACTGTTCGTGTGTACATCTATCAGGAAAGCTGTCAAGGTTATTGCTTGCATCTGGAACACGAGCAATATTTCCGAACAGGACCTTTGGTGGCGCCTGTCGCGACGCTGTGCCTTTCGCGAGTGTCTGCACGTGCGCACCGGGACTGTCTGGCCTTCAAGCACTCGGCTTTCCAACTGACCAATCAGATTCAAGGCCGATTCAGACGTGCCCTGGCCTAAGACGCTCTGACGCATTCCCTGACCGGGACACTTTGGGACGCCGCTCTCCCGGCTGCTAACTCTTTTCAATCCCTTTTCCAGTTGTTGTGTACACAATACACAATCCTCCCAACCGGCGTCCAATTTATTTTTCCACTTGGGACCGGGCCTGAAGGTCGTGCTAGCCAGGGTCTCTCTCTCGGCTTAGGCTTCTGCGATATACCTTCCAACTCTTCCTCACTGACAGTCTGATCACAAGCGACGACCTCTATCGCCTGCCCTAGTTGCGCAGCGTCTACCACATTCTCTCCTCCCTCACCAACATTGCGCTAATGAAATGACAAGTCCAAAACGACCGGAGGTGGGTGCGGTGGGTACAATGACTGACGAAGCTAAACAGCCCATCTACGCGTGCGACACGCGACCTGGTCCCACAACATGTGCCGGGCTTCCGTGAGGACGGTTCGAATCCCACATGGGCGAGATGCCGTAATAGCCACAGTAGGAAAGAGCCATTGCAATCTGAATCGAAATCCTAGGGGGGAGGACTGAATTATTCCCTCAGTTGGCAACGCTCCAAATAGCAAATCTTAGCGCCTCGTGGTAGGTTGAAGTGTGGCAGATGTACCGTAGGGGAGAGTGCGCTGATGTGTCGCGAGGATCGAGTTGTGGAAGTGCGATGGGTCGAAAAACGAGGATTCCCAAATCACAAGTCAGGGAGAACATAATAACATACTGCCTATACCATGCGCCGCTGTGCGGCTGCTGGTTGGGCTCGAGAGAGAGAGCCCATAAGGCACAACGGAACGCGTGAGTTCCGTAAGAACGATCGGTGAGCGCCCCCTACCATTATATATTCCCGATCGAAACCGACAGGGCAACGGGTTCGTCGCCCAGCGGTTAGAGGCGTGGACTTCTAACTAGCAGGTCGCTAGATCGAGCCTCGGGTGTTCCACAGTTCGGGGTTAGGTATGACTGGCTGATGACGGCTAATAAGCCAAAAATGGCCATTCCAGTCTCCTTTGTCTTTGTCGGTAATGCCAATAATAATAATGCAAGTTGCTGCAAAGTGGCTACTATTGGCCGCCGTTCGAGTGGGTCCATTAATGACTCGTCGTGGGTGTTGAAATACGTTAGGCTTCGCAGTGATGCCGGCACTGGGCATTAAAGCAGCACCGATGCCCTTCCCATAAGGACATACTAGGTATCCCCCTCGCGTTCCAAAATCGCTGCTAACTCCCGTTATATTTATTGTGGAGGATAGTGGGGCACGGGAATAATAACCTCCCGCATTATATGTGGATTTGCCATGAATTGCAGCGGTTAGGGTTAAGGTTATGCGGGATAGCGTTAGGGTTAAGCATAATGGTATTACTGACAAAGACAAGGGAGACTGGAATGGCCATTTCCGGCTTATTAGCCGTCGTCAGCCAGTTATATCCAACCTCAAAGTAAGGAACATCTGGGGCTCGATCTCGCGACCTGTTCTGTAGAAGTCCAACGCCCCTAAACACTGAGCCACAGGCTCGTTGTCTTGTCGGTTGCGATCGGGAATATACAATGGTAGAAGGGCGCTCATCGATCGTTCTTACGGAACTCACTCGTTCCGTTGTGTCTTACGAGCTCTCTCTCTCTCTCGCAACCCCAACCACCGGCCGCACACCGGCGCATCATATAGGCAGAATGCTTCATATTGACACAACTGTGAAAAACTCGGCGCCTCCGTGGGATTCGAACCCACGCAGTAAGTGGGAGGCTTTAGTACAGTCAACGCTCTTACCACTTGATCTACGACGCCCCGCCGAACGACGCGAGTTTAATCACATTTGGGCCAAGTTACCCGCCCAACCTAATACAACTTCTGGAATCCACCAAATGTGATACTGCAAGTTGACTGTCCAAGCAGGATTTCCTAAGTACTTCACCTAGAATCCACCAGATGACTACCAGGCTCATGTAATTCATATATATTTTGGTAGATTATGAATAATTCATATTGACTTAACAGGGAAAAACTCGGCGCCTAGGTGGGATTCGAACCCTGGCAGTAAGGAGAAGGCTTTACTACAGCCAACGCTCTAACCACTTGAGCAACGAGGCCCCGCCGGACGACGCCAGGTGAATAACTTAGGAAATCCTGCTTGGACAGTCATCTTGCTGTATCAGATTTGGTGGATTCCAGACGTTGCAGTAGGTTGGGCGGGTAACTTGACCCAAATGTTATTAAACTCGCGTCGTCCGGCAGGACTTCGTAGCTCGAGTGGTTAGAGCGTTGGTTGTAGTAAAGCCTTCTCCTTACTGCGTGGGTTCGAATCCCACCGAGGCGCCGAGTTTTTCACAGTTGGGTCAATATGAATTATGCAAAATATGCCAAAATATCTATGAATAAGCAGAATGGTATTAGGGTTAGGACTAGGAGGCTTAGGACTAAGGGTATTACTAGACCCGAGGAGTAGGTACCTTCTAGAATTTGGCGCGAGGTCACCTACTGTTCAGAGGTGTTCGTATTATCGTGTCCGACAGAGGAAGACGTCCGGTAGTCGTAGGTCCGACATGTTTTTTTACCACAGTCTACATTTTTATCTTCTCTACCTGGGTAATTTCTGCTCTACAGCTCCTGCAGTCACCAACAATGAACCCTTTTCGGCGACCTTGGTTTCTTCACATCTGGGCAACGCGGCGTATGTCTTCTTCCGACCACACCTGACTATCTAATTCAGCAAGTCGAACAGTTTGTTTCAGCCACAAAGCAGGAGGAGGGAAAGAAGAAGAAGAAGAAGAAGAAGAAGAAGAAGGAGGAGGAGGAGGAGGAGGAGGAGGAGGAGGAGGAGGAGGAGGAGGAGGAGAGGCCTGCCTTCTTTCGCCGTCCACATCCTTTGTAGAATTCCTAATCAAGCCTCTTATTGGCAGGAAGGGAGTAGCTGACTGAATCGTGACGGTGTGCGTCCACTCTGCACGTAATCGATACTGACGCGACCGGAGGACATGGCCCTGGGCAGTAGCGCTGGCAGCAGGCGTTGCCTGCGCCTACATCAGGCGCGTCCATTACGGCCTGTACACCAGCCTCCTCCCCCCCTCCCCCTGCGCTCCATGTTCCCGGTACGCGTGCACGACGAACACGCGCTGCTTGTGCGTCCTGTCCCGTACAGGAGGTGGCTACACCGTAAAGGTTGTCTGCGTCACCCACTACGGGGACAAATGTCCGGCATCTAATAAAAACCGGAGGTTTTACCAACGACGCGGTGGAATTTGCTATTGAAGTGAGTGGAAACAATACTCGGTTTATGTGACGGTCGGATGCGTTTATGAAGTCCCACCTGAAGTAAACAAACCCCAGTCACCTGTAATACGGGACCGGTGGTTATAGGGGTTTTTACAGGCGGGGCCGGGGAACGCACAGGCGACGAGGTCAAGTAGCTGTGTGCAAAAGAAAAGTTATTGGGAATGCGCGGTTGTACTCTGGATGGTTGAGAAATAGTTGCCCTAACCCCTAACTATAACCCCAAATCCTGGACACTAACTCTTAATCCTAACTCCTAACCCTAACCCCTAGCCATTGCCCCTAACCATAACCCCTAACCCTAACTTTCAATCCCAACCCCAACAGTACTGTGTCCATCAGGTGGGGCCACCAAACCACATCTTACCTATGCGACTTCTTGTTGAGACAAGTCCTCAGCTTTCATGAGACGCCAAGAGGTCTACAGTATACACTACTTCAAATCTCCTGAAACAGGGGAACAAGCCGGATTCAATGTTTAGTTGAGAAAAAGGTCTCGCGCCATACCTTCAGGTGTGATCGTTGAATGTTGTTGCCGGCCACCGTCTTGATGGAGGAGAACGCAGGTTTGAGGCTCTAATATGGCGAAATTGATATTTCCTAAAACCTGGTAAAACCTTCACATCTAGAAGAAACGGTACTCCACCCGGAGAGTAAATGCGTTGATGTAAATCATCCCATCCGACAAATGGAAAAAATGGGGAAGCAGAAGATTACTCTCCATGACTATTGTCATCAACGCCATCAGAACCAATCACGGTTCCCTCAGGGACGCGGTTGGTGTCCTCCAGAACGGATCGATTCCATCATTACTTTGAATAAGTTCCTCAATATCCTGCGTAGTTTTCTGTGCAGCTTTTACACAAAAGACAGATTGCCCGTCTCCCATTTCCTCTCTTAACTCATACTAAGAATGTTAATTCCTAGCTCAGATCTAGCGAAACAGCGACGTTCTAGCGTGCGCTTCTGCAAAACCGTGAAGCATAAAGCGGACGGTATGATTTCCCACATTACGCCAACAACGCTTTTTCGAAGCCCATCAGCAAATTCCTTCTTTATTTCTACTTTCATCTGGAGGCTCGGAAAACAAAAGTGCATCTTTCGAGCTTAAATAATTGTAGTACTTTTTACGACGGCAAAAATATCTTAGTCAGCAGGCTGTTCACATGATGTACAATTGGTAGGATAAAATTCGTCGTGAGTTCTATGCTTCAATCAATCTCACATCTGAATGTTCGGCAGCGTGACCAAGAAACAACACTAGGTATCATCCAATTCGTCTAGGCGTTTCAATAAAAAAAAACAGATTTTTCAAACCATTTAGTACAGGAGTGCATAACCATTAATGCAAAGTTTTGTAGAATCTGAAGTACTTGCTACTCTCTTCATCTTACGCAGACATCATGAGGAACCTGCGACTTTGGCATAGAAGACAGTGAGGCCGGGGGGCGCTCACCGATTGTTCTTACGGAACTCACTCGTTGCGTTGTGCCTTACAGGCTCTCTCTCGAGCCCAACCAGCAGCCGCACAGCGGCGCATGATATAGGCAGTATGCTACTATCGACAAAGACAAGGAAGACTGGAATGGTCATTTCTGGCTTATTAGTCGTCGTCAGCCAGTCATACCCAAGGTCGAAGTGTGGAACGCCCGAGGATCGAACTCGCGACCTGTTATTTAGAAGTCCACGCCTCTGACCACTGAGCCACGAGCCCGTTGCCCTGTTAGTTTTCGATCGGGAATATACAATGAAAGGGGGCGCTCACCGATCGCTCACAGGTCGCGAGTTCCGTAATTTTGAACACCACTAGAATTACCCGCCGAGGTTCACGTCTACTGTGGTAGTGTTGACGACAAAGCTGGCCAACAACACGTCTACATGCGTTGCTTCAATTTTCAGACTAACGTATCTACCTCTTAATTCACCTCTTCCATTGACACAGGTGTATTACTGTCTGAACCTCATGAGACATCCGCCAGTATCGATATTGAAAACCTTGTGGAAGGGGAGATGGTCGACAACTTGAATGCGGGGAAGACAGTTAAACGGACAAGCTTTTAGCGAGACAGAGAGCGTACGGGCAGCAGTGCGAGCGGTTTCACTTGACGTTCTCACCAGGCAAGAGTCAGCAGAAGGGGGTGCATCCTGACTTCGTCTGGCTGCGGCCAGTCGATGATGAGACAAATATCGATCGACGTCATGGGGTCGCAAGGCGGAGGTTAAGCCACGTGCGTTGAGCGGATCGGAGGCGGCCTGTGTAGGCGGTGTCGCTGACGGTCATGATAGAGAGCAACCGCAACCTCACAGTAGGTGGGCTAACTCATGAAATGTCAACCGAAATTCCGAAATACGTTTTCGTTTCGAAAAGATTAATTAAGTAGGGTTGTAAAACTGGTCAGCCTGCGACATAATTCTATAATAATTCATTTACCTCACGATGCCGGCTTTCGAACGAACTTCTTTCTAGCCGCATGCAAAATCAATACTCTGAAAAAAAATGACTACTTACGTAGCATGTATTTTTTCATCGATTTTCGATGTCCTTAAAAACTCAATTGTATTTCAGGGAAAACATGCATACAAATATTTATTCTTTTGCTCATTCGGTAGAAAATTGCGTCTTCTAACAATTTTATACTCGAAAGAAGAGTGTAATCCAGTTTTTAAGAACTCTTCCAACTCGCTAATAAATTTGAACACGGCCTGCCGTTAAATTTGGATTCGGGATTCCCAAACTACAAGCCGTATATTTTCCGCGTACGGAAAACCATGAATTTATTTACGGTATTCAGAGGAGACCGTATGGGGTTTATAAAATTCAGCAGTAGATGTGAGCCATATTGTAAACTGAAGACACCACATTAGTAACTGCAGAGACACGATGTTGTGTGAACTGGCATTTCACGGTCTTAAAAAATGTCATAATTAGGATCTTTTTAAAAACTGATCTATACCCTTTCTTTCAGTATAAATTTAGAAGAAGACGTCATTTTCTACCGAATGAGTAAAAGAATGTATATTTTTATGCATGCTTTCCATGAAATACAATTGAATTTTTAAGGGCATCGAAAATCAATGAGAAAACTTCATGCTACTTAAGTAGTCACGTTTTGCAGAGTATATTTTTTGCATGCAACCGGAAAGAAGTTTTTTCGAAAGCCGGCATCCTGAGGTAACTGAATTATTATAGAATTATGTCGCATTATGATTAGTTTAACGACCATTTTTAATTAGTCTTTTCGAAACGATAAGGTGTTTCGGACCAACACGGGGGCTAGCTCGGGGTCCGGCAGGCGCTATTGGGCTGCACACGCATTACGAATGTCAACATTGGGGGTGCGGCGGCGCACTTGGTTGCAAGCTCACGCCGCGTCTCGGGATCCGAGCCGTCTTCTCCCTCTCCCTCTTTCTTGGTGTAAAATCCTGGTCAGCGTACGTTGTGGATCAAGGGGGTGTGATGGTACGCTTAGGCACGGGTTTTTGTCGCGCCGGCCACCCGCGCCCTCTCCCGCCTCCGGTCCTATTGACTTTGTCATAGGATCGGACCTGGGAGCGGGAAGCAGAGAGTGCAGCAGATGCTGTGCAAGTCTGCAAACACTTTGAGCTAATTCACTCGCAACTCACTGTCCTTGCTCTCATTTTACAGTGGAGCACACGGTTAGCAACGACATTCGAAGTGACATGTTGTGACTTTTATGTTTGGAGTAAGAAAAGGCGGTAGCATTATTGAATGTGCAGCACCCTTGAGCCTTCTGCCTCGGGCATCCATGCTTTGCTAGAAGTCATGTGATCACGACGCCCGGTCGCAAGAATGTGAGCACATGCAGTCCCAAGGATAGCCAGTTACATGCGCCCACGAACTCCGCTACGACCCACTAAATTGACCAGGCTGACACCGACTGACTCCCACGTGACGATTATTTTCTCATGCCCACGTGACTCGGATGCACGGACGTGCGCGGGCCTGTGGTGAGGTACCGGACTAATTTGCCTTTGACAATTTAGTTCCATTTTCATTGCTCGGATTGCTTGTTTGAATGTGACGAAAAATAACACACCTGTACAACCCGCCTTACTGGCCTGCTTTGCTGTCGCGCTCTGATGTCAGGTTACTTAACGTTCAAAATCTCTATATTATTCACTGCTCAATTTTACTTACTGTTTTTAAGGCTAGGGGCTCGTGAGATAAAACTCTTTAGTTCGTGAGAACATTACCATTTACTTCAGGCCAACAGCAGGCCCCAGGTCGGTCGTCCTGATTGTTATCAGGCTTTTGTACAGAATATAGTACTCATACTAGTGTCTTTCCTCGTCTCCTCTAAAGCGGGACTAGTCTGTGCTTATTGTGGCGTTCTGAGAACACTCTCACTGCTTAAATACCACAAACTGATGAACTCGACGTGATCTGAACACGCAACCGCACGGTCATCAAGAATTCTCCTCTTAACTTCAACTCAATTTTCCTGCGTCACTTGATGTGACCATGATGCGGAGAATTCAGTTACCAACATCCCGTCGTAGAGCGGGCCGGATGCCATCAAGCAAACTCAGCTCATCGGATCGAGGTCATGATCCCGATCCCATCCAGCAGAACAGTCCCGC